GCAGGTTGGTGCTGTGTCTTTGCAACAGAATCCTGCTAACAGCTCCCAACGGGTGAACAATAGTTCTTTGGCATCACAAAATGGGGTTAATGTTCTTCAGCCAAATATTAGTTCTCTTCAATCCAACACTAATATTCTTCAACATCAACATATGAAACAACAGGATCCGCAGCAGTTGCTGCAATCGCAGCAGCAGCTGAAACAACAGATGCAGCAGAGACACATGCAACATCTGAAGCAGCAGATGTTGCAGCACCAGCAGCAACAGCAACAACAACCACAATTACATCAGCAACAGTCACAGCTACAGCAGCAAGGAAAACAGCAGTTACCCACACAAATGCAGGCGCACCAAATGTCGCATCTCAACCAAATTGAGATTAATGACCTGAAGATGAGACAAGGGGTTGCTGCAAAGCCAGGGATGTTTCAACACCCAGGAACTCAGCGCTCAGCTTATACCCATCCACAGATGAAACCAGGAACTTCATTTCCAATTTCACCTCCTATCTTTCAGGCGACATCCCCTCAAGTTACCCAAAATTCTTCCCCACAGGTCGACCAACAAAATATGTTTTCATCCATGAACAGAATTGGAACACCTTTGCAATCTGCGAGCTCCCCTTTTGTTGTCCCATCTCCTTCAACGCCTCTGGCTCCATCTCCAATGCCTGGTGATTCTGAAAAACCTACTTCTGCTGTCTCGTCCCTTCCAAATGCTGGGAATACTGGACAACAAATGAATGTGTCTGGGGCACAAGCCCCATCTCTTGCCATTGGCACCCCTGGGATATCTGCCTCACCATTGCTAGCTGAGTTTAGTGGTACAGATGGCGCTTATGCCATTGCATTACCAACTGTTTCCGGCAAATCAAGTGATACAGAGCAGCCACTTGAACGCTTAATTAAAGCGGTTAGTCAAATCAAGTGTACCATTTGTTCGTGGATTTAATTGTTGCCTATGCTTCTTAATTGTTTCTATCATTGGTAACCTTCTTATGGTTTTCAGGTTAAATCAATGTCACCTAAAGCTTTGAATGCTTCTGTCAGTGGCATCGGATCAGTTGTCAGTATGATTGATAGGATAGCCGGCTCAGCCCCTGGTAATGGATCGAGAGCTGCAGTTGGGGAGGATCTGGTTGCCATGACGAAATGTCGGCTGCAAGCAAGAAATTTTGTTTCACACGATGGGTCAAATGGAACCAAAAGGATGAGACGTCACACAAGTGCAATGCCCTTAAACGTTGTATCATCAGCAGGAAGTGTAAATGATGTTTTTAAACCATTGACCGGTGCAGAGACATCTGATCTTGAGTCAACTGCAACATCTAGCGTCAAGAGGCCCCGGATTGAGGTAATAACAATTTTTACGTATTGTATTTTCTTTGAGGCTGAAATTAAATAGTAGTTTAGATAGATATAGTTAGGAGTCACCATAAGTTTAAGAACTGATAAGCAATGTAATATAACTACATTAGAGGTCTCACATATGGATATGCTACACAATTTTAGAATCATATAGTTCCCCTTTTTCTCATTTTAATATGTTATTGTCTCTAATTTGATTTCAAGAACATGTTTAAGCATGTTCATAGTTCATCAGAAATTCAAAATCAAGTTATTAGGTCTAACAACATAGTTATAAGTGTCGAACAGGCGTACATGGACCTGTTACCTGAGCTATCATATATGTGTTCTTAGGATAGTTAGTGCTATTGGGTTGATGAAATAATTTTGTGTGAAAGAGACTTGAATAGAAAAGCAGCAAAACAACAAATATGAAGGCCTAAATTCAATTTATATTTTATAAATAGTTATAAGAGAGGGGAAAGAAAGAAAGCAACAGATTAATTGTGAGATCCCACATCGGTTGGGGAGGAGAACGATACATTCTTTATAAGAGTGGAAATCTTTCCCTATCAGACGCGTTTTAAAAACCTCGAGGGGAAGTCTGAAAGGTAAAGCCCAAATAGGACAATATCTGCTAGCGGTGGGCTTGGACCGTTAGAAATGGTATCAGAGCCAGACATCGGGTGATGTGCCAGTGAGGAAACTGAGCCCCGAAAAGGGGTGGACATGAGGCAGTGTGGACATGAGGCGGTGTGCCAGCAAGGACGCTAGGTCCCAAAGGGGGTAGATTTGGGGGTCCCACATCGATTGGAGAAGGGAACAAGTGCCAGCGAGGACTCTAGGTCCTGAAGGGGGGTGAATTATGAGATCCTACATCGGTTGGGTAAGAGAACGAAACATTCTTTATAAGGGTGTGGAAATCTCTCCCTAGCAGACGCGTTTCAATAACCTTGAGAGGAAGCCCAAAATGGGAAGCCCAAAGAGGACAATATTTGCTAGCAATGGGCTTGAGCCGTACATTAATAGTATAGATCATCTACATTAATATTATAGATCATAGACAGTGCCATTAGAATGTTCTTGCTCCTTTAACAATTAAAGTAAGTTTCCTTGCTATCTTCTTATCAATCTTTTTAAGGCATTGTCCGTTTTAAACTTGTATTGGCCCACTTTAGTTTCACCAATCACATGCTTTACTCCTTTAGTTATATATATATATATATTGACATGTTGCAGGCCAGTCATGTTCTTCTGGAAGAAATAAGGGAAATAAACCAACGCCTTATTGACACAGTGGTGGTAATTAGTGATGAAGTAGTTGATCCAAGTGCTTTAGCGGCTGCTGCTGATGGCAGCGATGGAACAATTGTGAAGTGCTCTTTTAGTGCTGTGGCTCTCAGTCCCAGCTTAAAATCCCAATATACTTCTGCACAAATGGTGCGCATATTTCATACTAATCAGGTTCTTCATTGTCTGCATAATAATCTGCTTTCTTACTCGTTCATTATGATTATGCAGTCTCCAATTCAGCCTCTACGGTTGCTTGTTCCTACAAATTATCCAAACTGTTCCCCAATACTCTTAGACAAGTTTCCTATTGAAGTCAGGTTAGTCTACATGGGCTCCTAGCTTTGTTTGTCAGCTGTTTTTCTGTTCTTATATTCTGAAGAAAATTCAGTTCTATATTCCAAAATACGAAAAAACGACTTCTCTCTCACCCCTTTTTGAATTTTTGATTTTACGTGTTAGTTTTTATTCCAAGATAATTTCGTTATTGGTCATCTGCTGCTGGTTTCGTTATTGGTCATTTTCAGTTTCAGTTTTTTTTCGGTCTTTATTCGGTATACTATCGTTATTATCGTCGTTTTTTAGCAGCAAGGAATATGAAGACCTTTCAATAAAGGCCAAGTCCAGATTTAGCATATCGTTGCGAAACCTTTCGCAGCCAATGTCGCTTGGGGACATAGCAAGAACTTGGGATGTCTGTGCTCGTGCTGTTGTTTCCGAATACGCTCAGCAGAGCGGTGGTGGCAGCTTTTGTTCGAAGTATGGGGCTTGGGAGAACTGTTTGAGTGCTGCATGATTTGAAAAATCCATGGAACGGATGTTTGTGAACCATCTCGAGGTATTTCCAGCAGGCGAAATGACGTGACCAGCTCTGCTTGCTTGGGGAAGACAAGGCTGCCTATTTAAATAATGTATCATAGCATATAATTATGCCTCTGAAGCATGGAGGTAGTTTAATCAAATGGCATGACTAATTAAGTTGTTTTATTGCCACGATGGATTCGTTTGTTTGTGAAAACTTTGAATGCCTCCTTTGGCTATCTGTCTGTAAATCATAAGAAGGGCGGACTGTAAAAAGGAAATCCTCGATATGTTCATTAAATGCATAAATTTATGCCTGAAGCCAGCGAGAACTTTTTGGTTGAAAAGCTCTTTTCTTGTTATTTTAGACATCTTTTGAAGGAGTTCATGTTGTGAGGCACTGGGTGTTGTGCCACTCTGGGCCCTTGAATTGCAAGATCCCACGTTGGTTGGAGAAGAGAAGGAAACATTCCTTATATAAGAGTGTATAAACTTCTCCCTAACAGATGCGTTTTGAAACAATGAGGTTGAAGGCGATACGTAACGAGCAAAAGTAGATAATATCTATGAGTGATGGGGATAGATTGTTACATGAACAATGGATCGAACCACCTAACTCAAGCTATAAGGGTTGAGCTAAATTTATTTTCGATTTGGGTTGGATTGAGTTTTTAGATATATGGTTTAGTTATTGGGTTGCAGCGTTGTTGTTAGGTTTCCTCAATCAACTCGAAAATAGGGTTTTTAAGCCAACTTATCCCAATCCTATCATTCTTTTAAAATTGTGAAAATAGGGTTCTTAAGTCAACTTATCCCAATCCTATCATTCTTTTAAAATTGTTATGAAAATTAATTAAGAACAGTAAATATTTGTAACAGATGTTAGTGATCTATTGTGACTTGTAAATGTTTGATATTTGTAAATATTCGATATTTGAGTTATATGAAATTTTAGTTATTGTTATAACATGTACCGTAGCATAAATATAATATTTGAAATAGTTCCAAAGTTGGGTTGGAAACTCTATTTGGGTCATTCAGGTCACCAATTTGGTCCAAATATTTTCCTTAACCAATCTAACCTTAAACCGGTTGATTTAGAGAAATCTTTTGGATCGACCCAAAATTTCAGGTTGGTACCATGGGCCACAATCGCACTCTTGTAATAGCGAGACAACAAATGTAATACATTTATTCTAAACCTAGCAAGCAATTCAGCCGTGTGAAATCTAGACCTCATGGATAATATCGACGTATGCTTGAGCCTCGAGTGACGTTTAAGAGAAATATTTTTAAAAATGTAAGTGAGAAAATACGTTGAAAACAATATTAAAGAAATCAATATGACAAGCTAAAAGGAGCAGACAACAACAACAATTTTGATACCAACTGTCATGGTCGTACTTTTTAACGGTGTAATGTCATGATCTTCGCTAGCGACAAGCCTTAAAAGAAACTCAAGCGGTTTAGTCCGGACATTAAGAAAATGTAAAATTAGAGTTATTTTTTTATTTTATTTTATTCTTGGAATTGCCTCGATATATAATGCTCGAATCCCCTACTGATTCGCCATTTGAGTTTTCTCGGAGCAAAAAATGGAGTCGGAGGTCCAAAAGCCACCGGAGCTGGCACTGCTCTCTCAGAGCACTGAAGCCAATCCCCCGTCGAGATCAAGGCCGCCGCCGAAGCGATTTGTGAAGAACCAAATCCCCGATTCCATCCTCAACAATTCGGCCTTGAACGCTGCCATTTCCCTCCTTCCCTCCAACTACAACTTTGAGGTTCATAAGTGCGTATGGCGCATCCTCTCCTCCGGCGCCTCCCGCGTCGCCCTACAGCTCCCCGAAGGTCTTCTCATGTACTCACTCATTCTCTCCGATATCCTCACCACTTTCGGCAAGGCCTCCCACTGCTTCGTTCTTGGCGATGTCACTTATGGTGCCTGTTGCGTCGATGATCTCTCCGCCTCCGCCCTCAACGCTGATCTCCTTATCCATTACGGCCATAGCTGCCTCGTTCCTATCGATTCCACCACGATTCCGTGCCTGTACGTTTTCGTCGACATTGCCATTGATGTGCCTCGTCTTGTTAATACTGTTCGTCTCAATATCGATGGTCTTGGTTCCACCAACTTAGTGCTTGCCGGAACGATTCAATTTGCCTCTGCCATTAGAGCTGGGAAGCTGGAGCTCGAGAGGCATGGCTTCCGGGTTTTAATCCCCCAGTCCAGGCCATTGTCTGCTGGCGAAGTTCTGGGCTGTACGGCTCCGAAAATTTCCTCGTCTGCTTTCGGCAATGACGGGGAGACTGTTGCGATTTTTGTTGCGGATGGGAGGTTTCATTTGGAAGCTTTCATGATAGCGAACCCGGGAATTAGGGTTTTCCGATATGATCCATATGTTGGCAAGTTATTGCTTGAGGAGTATGATCATGTAGGAATGAAGGCGTCGAGAAAAGGCGCGGTTCTGAAGGCGAGGGAAGCGAGAAACTGGGGTATTGTGCTGGGGACCTTGGGAAGGCAAGGGAATCCCAAAATTTTGGAGAGATTGGAGGAGAAGATGAAGTCTAAAGGATTTGATTATACTGTTGTTTTGATGTCTGAGATCAGTCCTTATAGAGTGGCTTTGTTTGAGGATTCGGTGGATGCATGGATTCAGATAGCTTGTCCCCGTCTTTCAATTGACTGGGGAGATGCTTTTGCTAAGCCTCTTCTTACTCCATTTGAGGCTGAGGTAGCTCTTGGACTAATCCCTGGTTGGTGGGAGAGAACAAACGCTGCTAAATTGAGTTGTAATGATTGTGAGAAATGTGGATGCAACAGTGATCAGGTTGAAGGGGAATATCCTATGGATTATTATGCTCAGGATGGTGGTGAATGGAACTCTTCCTATGTAAAGAAGAAAGTTTCTCGCCCTGTTGGGAGAAGAGATTGAAGGGGAATATCCTATGAACTAAACGCATTCAAGATTGCTTAAGGTTCTATAATTTAGAAGTTTTTCTTTCTCTGAGAAATTTTGTTCTTTTTATAGGCATCTAGCTTTATTTTCTACAGCTTTATTGAAAAATTGGTCTGAAACTGCAATTGAAGCTTTCTGAAGTGTTACTGATGCATACGTTAATCATGCATATGGATTTGCAATGTTTTCTATGGGATGGTTGAGTTGTACAAAATCATCTTCTTTGGGTTTCTTTTGGAATGTAGTTTATCAGTTGGGTTATTAGTTGTTTCAAGTTAATTGAATGGTTAGGTGAGTTTCCTTCACTGTAAATTGCCTATTTATAGGTATGTTCTGTGATTCAATTTTGAGTACAATACATGAATTGCTTGCACTAGAGCATTGTTGGTCTATTACTTTATTCGTGCTTGTGCTGCCTTTTGTCTCTGAGACTTGAAACTTCTTGGAGTTGCATGCCAGTGCTCCTGTATGGTGTAAGAAGCATTTGGACTCTTAAACCCAAATGGTTTGTCATATACAACATAAAATTCTTCATTAGATTAGATAGATTAGATAGATAGATTAGGTGAGTTCCTACCATCGGCATGTAACAGCCCAAGCCCAAGCCCACCACTAATAGATATTGTCTTCTTTAGGCTTTCCCTTTTGGGGTTCTCCTCAAGGTTTTTAAAACGCGTCTGCTTGGGAGATTTTTTCACACCTTTATAAAAAAAATGTTTTGTTCTCCTCTCCAACCGATGTGTGGGATCTCACAATCCACCCCCTTCGGGGCCCAACGTCTTCGCTAGTACTCATTCCCCCTCCAATCGATGTGGGTTCTCACAATCCATCCCTTTTGGGACCCAGCGTCCTCGCTGGCACTCATTCCTCTCTCCAGTCGATGTGAGATCTCACATCCACCCTCCTTCAGGGCTTAGTGTCCTTGCTAGCACACTGCCCGGTGTCTGGCTCTGATATCATATGTAATAGCCCAAGTCCACCGCTAGTAGATATTGTCCTCTTTGGGATTTCCCTTTCGGGCTTCCCCTCAAGGTTTTTAAAACGCATTTGCCAGAGAGATGTTTCCACATCCTCATAATGAACGTTTCGTTTCTCTGTGGATCTTACAATGCATCATTCGGATAATCCAAGACTTTGTATTACTTTCACAAGTTCTTGTTGGAGAATTAAACTACACTAGGATTCGTGGATGCTAATTACGTTTCAGTGATGGAGCAATACAATATTCTGGTGAGTTCTTACTTTGATGAGTTCATGGATTAGGAACGAACATATGTTGATTTCTTGGAATCCAAGTTCATTTTAAACATCAAATCAGCAAAAGAAAGTTTAAGAAGTTTACGACAGAAAAATGGTCCATAAAGGTTTCAATTCCGAAGGTTAATTGCTAAATCTAACTATTTACAGGGCCTATTCTTGTACAAAATTCTTATTTGGTGGAATGAATCTTTATCTGATTACTCAGGCTGAATGCTTGATATTTTTCCTGTTGGGATTTGTGTGCAGATGAGAGAATAGGTCCTTGTTGAACTATTTCCTCTTCATTAACATACTGCTTTCTCTTGTTGTACAAGAACACCAGCTCAATATCAAAGTAGCAAGCAATATCAAAACAAGATCTTTGATGTTAAGTGGTCATCTATCAACTGCAAAGGTTTAACACTGTCACTACAGTTGAAGGATGCAAAGATCAGGCAAGTACCCAGTCTTTGGCCTTTTCTTGATTCTAAAATAACACTTTTTCTCTCTATTTGATGCTTGTTCCAGAAGCTTTTATTATCTATCTTACTCATGATAACATTTTTGTTACACACGTCGGTGAACTGTTGGTTGTCTGCATTGACTATCATGCTGTTAAATTTTTTTGTGGTTTTCCAACCAAGTATTCTTCTTTATCCATACACCTTTTTTTTGTTGACTCATGTTCTCGGACAATTGAGTTTGGAGATAAGGTCATTGTCCATTTCGTTCGGTCCGTTATGTATCACCATCAGTCCACGATTTTAAAACGTGTCTGCTAGGGAGAGGTTTCCACACCCTTATAAGGAATACTTCGTTCTCATCTTCAATCAATGTGAAATCTCACAATCACTCCCTTTGGAACCCAGTGTTCTCGCTGGCATACCCACCTGGTGTTTGGCTCTAATACCATTTATAAAAATCTAAGCTCACCACTAGTAGGTATTGTCCACTTCGGCCCGTTGCGTATCGCCGTCAGCCTCATAGTTTTAAAACGTGTCTGCTAGGGATAAGTTTTTATACTCCAACCAATGTGAAATCTCACACTTCGTCATTTTTTTTTTTTTTTTAAGAATGCTAACGTGCTAAACAATAAATAGAAACAATAAATAGAAGGGAGTATGGTACCTCGATAGGACTGCAATACTTTTTGGGTGGTGATTTCATTGTAATACTTATAGGGATACCTTGTATGTTTGGAATATTTAGACTCCATTGATAATCATTTTATTTTTTGTTTTCTAATCCGAAAAATTAAGTCTACACTTTTTTCTTGTAGTTTTATTATTTTTCGTTTTTCTTTATAGTCAATTGAATATTTATGGTTGCAGTTATTACACGATACATTATTGTATACGTTTTTCGGGTATAGTGAAGAAAACTTATGTTAAACGCTGTCTCGATCTCTTGTTTGTTATGATATACTCACACTAAGTTCTCTTATTATTTTTTGAATTCGACTAGTGGATGTTATTTTTATAAATTAATGACAAATTTACATGTTATTAAATTTGAAATCAATTATAAATTGAAACACATCCCAAATTAAATTTTAAGATAAAAATTGACAAAATTCAAATAACATGCCATTTGGCTCGCAAAGTTTACTAGATCAACAAGTCAAAAATCGATGCGAACACGATAATCCAACAAACCAAGAGAGGATTGAATTGACTCGCAACTTTACTGAGTGTTGGAAGGTTTTGATATCATAATTGCTTTTTGCTTTAGAGTTGAGTTCAAGAATGAAGAGGAAAGAAGAGAATATGCTTTACCGAGTTGAACACGAAAACAATTTCAAATCATATTCTATTCCTTTTATCAGCTCATCAGTTAATTAAAGCTTATTAGAACATCAAAAAACCCATGAACTACAAAATAATACTGTGCAAACTAAAATAACAATTCAATTCAAAGATTCATAGTGTTCTTCCAAGAAAAAATGATTCAGCTCACAAACTCTACCATAAGTCCTAAAACACTGTAAATGCATACAACTCATGACCTCAAAGCCAACAAAAGAACCACTCTTTCGTCTAAGGATGCCTAACCGTCGCACTGTGTAAAGACTCCTTATGAAGCTTTGCTCCCTTTTGAACGCGTTCTTGGTCCGATTCGGATTCCCCCGTCGTCTCCTTTTCACTGACAGACCGACAGACCAGAAGTATGAACAATACCAGCCCAACTATTCCCAGTACTAGTTTGGCTTAAAAAACTACCTAAAAAAAACCCCATAAATACATTATTTTGTTCTTTGTTTTCAAGGAAAAGCCATTCCAAACTTACAACTTCAAGAACTTAGCTCATCAATCTCTCTTTAGACAATATAAACAAATCTTCAAAAGCAAAAACTAACCAAACTTTACTTAACATATGACACAGTGTTGAAGTAAGAGATCATTGACTTTGCATCCGAACTCTTGTTCAGAAGCATTTCCTGTGAACGATAGCGGGACCCGACTCATCGTATTCGGCCTTTGTTATCCACATCTGCATTATTAAGTCATAATCATAAACGAATGCAATGTATTATTCTACCGAGCCTGTTCGATATTTGTAAATGCAATGGAGTTTGTATATCATGAAGGAAGTGATTATAGAACATACCTGTTGGAAGGTACTGAGGGATGCTAGGATGGATCCTCCAATCCAAACACTGTATTTCCTTTCTGGAGGAGCAACAACCTTAATCTTCATGCTGCTCGGAGCAAGAGCGGTAATTTCTTTGCTCATACGATCAGCAATGCCGGGGAACATCGTTGACCCACCACTGAGGACGATGTTACCATATAAGTCTTTCCTGATATCGACATCACACTTCATGATGGAGTTATACGTGGTTTCATGGATTCCAGGAGATTCCATGCCAATCAGAGATGGCTGGAAAAGTACTTCAGGGCAACGGAATCTCTCAGCTCCGATTGTAATTACCTGCCCGTCTGGTAGTTCGTAGCTTTTCTCAATGGCCGAACTAGTCTTGGCTGTCTCCAGTTCTTGCTCGTAATCAAGGGCCACATATGCAAGCTTCTCCTTCACATCACGGACAATTTCCCGCTCGGCTGTTGTCGTGAACATGTAACCTCTTTCGGTGAGAATTTTCATTAAAGCATCAGTCAGATCACGACCAGCAAGGTCGAGACGTAGGATTGCATGAGGGAGAGAAAACCCCTCGTATATTGGCACTGTGTGGCTCACTCCATCACCAGAATCCAACACAATACCTGTTGTCCGACCACTGGCATAGAGAGATAAAACGGCCTGGATTGCAACATACATAGCGGGGACGTCGAATGTTTCAAACATGATCTGAGTCATCTTCTCCCTGTTTGCCTTCGGGTTGAGCGGTGCTTCAGTAAGAAGGACCGGATGTTCTTCAGGAGCAACACGAAGCTCGTTGTAGAAGGTGTGATGCCAAATCTTTTCCATGTCATCCCAGTTGCTCACAATGCCATGCTCAATTGGGTATTTCAATGTAAGAATACCCCTTTTTGACTGAGCTTCATCCCCAACATATGCATCCTTTTGGCCCATTCCAACCATCACACCGGTATGACGTGGTCGACCAACAATACTAGGAAACACAGCCCTTGGAGCATCGTCACCGGCAAATCCAGCCTGCAATGTTCAACGAGACGTTATCACAACATCTCTACATACATATTTTATTAACACTAAAATTACTTAACAGCTTCAAAGCAATTCTCAAATCAGAAAGCTCAAATTCTTTTATTTGAAAAGGACTCCTTTCTTATTTCAATTCTCATTCGTGAACTTAAAATGAAATTCGAAAAAGATCCAAATATTATATATCAATCCATGAACTTGAAATGAAATTTTGAATTTGATGTCATTTGTAACAGCCCAAGCCCACCGCTAATGGGTGTTGTCTGCTTTGACTCGTTACGTACTGCTATCACCCTTAGTGTTTCAAAACGCGTCTGTTAGGAAGAGATTTTCACACCCTTATAAGGAATGGTTTGTTCTCCTCTCCAACCGAGATAGGATCTCACAATCCATCCTCCTTGGGGACCCAACGTCCGAGCGGTGTACCATTTGGTGTACCATTTGTAACAGCCAAAGTCCACTACTAACAGATATTGTCCACTTTAACATGTTATGTATCACCGTTAACCTCGGTTTTAAAACGTGTCTATTAGGGAGAGGTTTTCACACTCTTATAAAGAATATTTCGTTCTACTCACCAACCGATGTGGGATCTCACACCATTACATCAAGTGTCCCTGTGTGAGCTTGTGTTTTAAACAACGCATATCGAATTTAATATATAGTCCAAAGACTAAATTCAATATCGAATTCATCACAAAACTTCGACGACAACAATGAAAACAAATTCTCAAGAACGAAAACATGAGTATTCCACTAACCTTGACCATTCCAGTTCCATTATCACAGACAAGAGGTTGGATATCTTCACCATCTGCCATCTTTCAAACTGATACATCACAAAACAATCACCATGAACACAAACCACACAATCCCAAACTTTTGAACAAAGACACATAACAAGAACAATCAAATCAGCTATTCAATCAATCATATATTCCCCCAAAAAAACACCAGATTCTAAACATCATGTCCAATAGAGCGATCGCAAAATCAAACAGAACCAACAATCGATTCTGATCAAGACACCACTAGAAAGATGATCATATTCGATTGAAAAAGAAGTAGCCAACAAAAAGGAAGATGATCATGAAAGAATTCAAGCAAAACCGATATGAAATTCAATGATCAACGCAGCATAAACCAAAGAGAAACAAAATTCCACAAGCAAAAGTAAAAGGGAACGATCAATAGAATGAACTAATCAGAATAAAAACAGAAACCCAGATGAAAAAACCGCAAGATCAACCACCATAGACACGCACCTTGATTGATAGCACAGAATCAGAGCGAAAATGAAAGAAGCAGCAGCGTGAGAGAAAGGGGTTTTGGGAAAATAGAAGAAAAAAATTTGGGGGTAAAAAGACGAAGGGGTTTATAAAGAGGAAACAAACCGCAAATGCAAATGCAAATGAGACCCAAATTCAACAAATTCCAAATTCCAAATTCCAAATTGGAGTGAGTTGACACAGCCGACCATGGGCTTGGCTTCAAAGACTGGAGTGGCAAAGGGAATAGACATCAGCATGGCATGGGCGGCTATCGAATCAAGGCCAGTGCTTGTTTTGGCATGCCAGCTACCGACCCACCTGTCCCTACTCATCTCTGAGTTGGCCATTCCCAGCTTTTTCTAATCAAAATCATTAATTTTTCTCAAAACCACAAACTCACAAACATTTCAACTTAACGACATAATCATCTTTCTTTGACTTTTGCGTACAACGTTTTTGGATATGTAATTAGTTTCGGTAAAAATTGGTACGAAGAAGAGAAGATTGAACGAATAAGTCAACCTATCAATAAGGGTAATTGACATTTATATGTTTAGTTTTCATTCCCTCCCCAACCAACGTGAGACTCTCACAATCCATCCCTTCAGGGCTCAGAGTCCTTACTGGTACATCACCTCGTGTCTACCTCATTCGGAGAAGAGCCTCTTCATTGACACATGATCTGGTGTCTGATTCTAATACCATTTGTAACGATCCACCAAATCCACCTTTCTGGGG